GGGCACCTGTGGTCCCAGCTACTTGGGAGGCTGAGGCAGGAGACTCGATTGAGCCCAGGAGTTGGAGGTTGCTGTGAGCTGGGATGCCACAGCACTCTACCCAGGGGCATAGTTTGAGGCTCTGTCTCAAAAAAAAGAAGTCCTACTTTTAAATTGCTTGGTGATGCTTACATTATGCTTACATCGTCACATAAACTTGTATCTCATTTAAAAGAAAAGATGAAGGAGAGGCATTATCCCATTAATTATTTAAAATACTTGGTGCATGCTTGGCGCCTGTGGCTCAAGCAGCTCAGGTGCCAGCCACATACACTGGAGCTGGCAGGTTCGAATCCAGCCCAGGCCTGCCAAACAACAATGACAACTACAACCAAAAAATTAGCCAGGTATTGTGGCAGGCCCCTGTAATCCCAGCTACTTGGGAGGCTGAGGCAGGAGAATCGCTTAAGCCCAGGAGTTGGAGGTTGCTATGAGCTGTGATGCCACAGCACTCTACCCAGGGTGACAGCTTGAGACTCTGTCTCAAAAAATAAATAAATAAAAATAAAATAAAATACTTGGTGCAACTATTCCTATCCAGCCACTTGGAAGACAATTACATTCAGCATTAATAGCGTTGCCAACCTTTTCCAGTGTGCTGAACTCCAAATACTATTGTGTTTTCATTGACAGCATTCACTATTATATATGCATGTGAAAAATAGGCATTTTCATCAGTATTACTATAATAGCATTAAGAGATTATTATTTTTTCCACTTTCTTTGGAAGAAAATTCACTTAAATTAGATTATTTATTACTTGATTGCTCTCCTGTCTTGCCTGTAATGTTTAGGTGACTAGAGTCCATGAAAGTATAAACTTCAGAATAAAAAAGCATGATTTTATACATTAATGATTTCAAATAAAGGAAGAATACTACGTTTGTGCATCACTTCTTTTGAGAAAGTTAAATCTGTGTTCTGCTTAGGAGAGATAACACTTTTTGTCCCTGTAGGTGGCCCCCCTGGTGTAGCCATTAGTTGCTAATTACTTGCAAACAAATAAACAATTAACTCCTTAAGCTGCTGGCTGGGCAAGTGTTCATTGACATGCTAAAACTTTCTAAGACAGGATTTTAATTAGTGACGTTCTAAATCCAGCCCCCTTGTCAGCAGAGCTATAAGGTGAACTGCAGGAAGATCCCAACCCTGTACATGTGGGACAGAGCCAGCAGAAAGGCCAGCGCTGTCCATGAGAGAATGTCTCCCAGCCTTCAGGACGGTGCTCAAGTTGGGGAGAGCAAACCCTCACCCTGCTCCTTTTCAATAGAGAGCATCTTAGGACTGGACCAGAAGCAAGACTCTGTTCCATCAGTGAAACCCCACAGGCCCTGGACAGACACGTGCAGCTCCTCAGGTATGCCACAACTTAATTTTTTTAACTCCTTGTTATTTCATTTGCAGTGCTTAATTTGGCCTTCATTTCATGCTACCTAGAGTTAGAAGCTACAGTTTCATTCAGTTACGTAACTGAAGCTTCTAGGACATTTAAATGCCTCCAGCTGAGTCCTATGGGAAATAAAAACATCAGCCTCTTTAGAAACAAGTGGATTTAAAAAAAAAAAAAAATTCAAGAACCTGCTTTTATTTAAGAAGATCGATTTCCCCTTCCTGACACATCAGATATTTGAAATCTGTTTTCAGTGAGAAATAAATGATAAGATTAGAAGGCAGGATTTCCAAGGCAAAGTCTTCATTTTTGTTTGGCTTTTGATATTTGGTTGATGAGGGGCTGTTCTCTTGTGAAATCCAGAAGAATTCCACTAGGAAGTTAAAGCAAGTTCCTGAAATTACTCCTTGTAGAACTTTGTGGAACATAGGATTGGTTGGCCATCTAAGACAGGTTTTATTTTTCTATTTTCAGGGAATGATGGTAACCTATGTTTACATGTCTCAAGTCTTCCCAGTGGGATCCCATTCCCTTGCATATTGGATCACCCAATGCCAGAAGAAAGAGCTTTGAAATATGAAAATTCCTTTTCAGCCTCAGAAAGACTGACTTTGAAAAGAGAGTTGAGTTGGTATAGAGGCCGAAGACCCAGAACTGCTTTTACTCAAAACCAGGTTGGAAATTTTTTCATCCAATAATGATAATACAAAGGCTTTTTACTGACATCCTGTTAAGCAAAAGCCCATTCATTTGGGATCTCAGTTTAGAAGCCTTATTAATGAAACAATAGACTATCGTATTTTAACAATTTCTAGATAATAATTTTTAAAAGGCATTCAGATTGATTGCAAAAGATTTATATGCTGTTATTTTGACATAGAAATTAGAGCCCATTTTCAGTGACATACTGGAGATCAACATTTTTAATTCATTATTCTTATAAGAATTGTTTCCTTATTCTTAGATTGAAGTGTTGGAAAATGTCTTTCGCGTAAACTGCTATCCTGGCATTGATATCAGAGAAGACTTAGCTCGAAAGTTGAATCTAGAGGAAGATAGAATTCAGGTAATTTTCAAATTTAGTTGTTACCCATGCTGATTGAAATATTAAGAATAATAAAATAATGTTTCTGAGACCTATTTTATTTTTTCTTAATTTTAGATTTGGTTCCAAAATCGTCGTGCAAAGCTGAAAAGATCCCATAGAGAATCACAGTTTATAATGGTGAAAAAAAATTTGAACACAAATTTCTTGGAATAGATAGAAAACTAAACATGTGAAATTATCTTCTAGTTGCAGAGCATGACAAATCAATGGAAATATCAAGTGTTGAAAATGTGATTTTTTTTTCCTGCATTTAATCTGAATATTGTCTTTTTTTCCTGAAAATATATTGTAAATAATTACTGTTGTAGCATGGTACATATTCTATTTGGGCACTTTTAGTCATAAGACTTTTCCTATATATTTTAATAAACATTTTTAGAAAAGATGGCTATTTTTTAAGTGAGCAAAGTCAATCTAATATTAGTTTACTAAAATCAATAAACTCATGACTAAGTGATTTAGAAGATTTCATTTACAAAGTGTTTCAAGTAAAATAATCTGAAGAACAAAGGTTAGTTTCTCCTAACCACATTTTGAAACATGATTATGCTTAACTAAATTGTACAACATGATTTATTGTTGAATGTCAATTTCTCTTGATTTATGGCATAAAGCAGTGAGAAATTTCTCACCGTGTATCAAAACAAGTCCCTATAGCATGATAGTTTCAAGTTTTTTATAAGCAAATTCATTATGCCACAGTAGAAAATATAAAGGCATCAGCTCTCAAATTTATATTATGTACAAAAGTATTAAGCTACAAATAAATGAAAAAATTGAAATAGTTTCTAGTTATTTAATGTTGTGCTTTACTTTCTTTTACTAGAGGGATAATGATCATCTAGATTGTGTCAATCCCAGTTTAATGATTTCCAATCAGCTATATATTTTGTTGTAATATTACATTGACTGAGAAGGTAAAACTAATGACCTGCCTTTTGTAAGTGCTCTTACATAGTCACTAAATAATCAGGATATTTTCTAAGTGACAAAAACCATGTGTTTTCATTTCCCATTTTCCTGTTGTACCTGCCAATTAAAGATGGGAATAGGATAAGATGTATGACAAGAAAGGAGTCCCCGGCTCGGCGCCTATAGCTCAACCGGCTAAGGCGCCAGCCACGTACACCTAAGGTGGCAGGTTCGAATCCCCAGCCCGGACCTGCCAAACAACAATGACGGCTGCAACCAAAAAATAGCCGGGCGTTGTGGCGGGCGCCTGTGGTCCCAGCTACTTGGGAGGCAGAGGCAGGAGACTCGCTTGAGCCCAGGAGTTGGAGGTTGCTGTGAGCTGTAATGCCATAGCACTCTACCCAGGGGGACAGCTTGAGGCTCTGTCTCAAAAAAAAAAAAAAAAAGAAAGGAGTCCCCTCCTGGAAATCTGGTTATTTGTTTTCCAGTTAATGGAAGACCTAAGTGGGTGTTCTTTTTTGATGCTAGCTTGAGGACTCTGACTTTTGTCCACTGGAAGCCATATTTCAACTTTGTCTATTTGAATTGCTTCTCCCTTGCTTCCCTTTTCCTTTTCCTTTTCCTCTGTCTTTTATCTTTCCCAATGATGATCAGAGTGGAAAGTTCTCACTAAATTATTAAATTTATAACTACTATATTTTTTCTAGTTTTTTTTTTTTTACGTGAAAGATTAGAGGGAGTTTAGATATTATTTCTGAGGAAAAGCAGCATGACTCAGATTTTACGGATTTTATTGAGAGCACATTCAGGGTAGAGAGCTCTGTGTCCCCCCAAAATGGGTCAACAACAAGCTGTGCTTATTCCCACTATTGCTGAGATGGAGAGGGAGAAGGAAAAGATGGGTGGCAGGGCAGTGAACAGGAAGACCAAATGCATTAATGTTTTCCAAGAAAGACTGGGCCACTTGTTCCAATATAAAGAACTGCTTCCATAAATATAAAATCTGAAGCACTATTTATGAAATACATTAGTCAAAATTTATCCACCAGGAGCTTCCTTTGCTCTCCATTAAGTTCCTATGAAGTTATGTTGAGTTAGAGGACTGGAAGTCACCAGGGGTAGGCATTGAGGAATGGACTGGAGGGCAATGTGTCATGTAATGGATAAGATTCATTTTAATCCCAACAGTCATATTTACATACTCTAAACAAGTTAAGCAATATAGAAAGAGTAGAATTTGTCTCAAATCTCATCCTTCAGAAATAACCATCATTAAAGATGCATAGATCTTTTTGTGTATCATAGAAACTATGTGTATACATGGGCACATACATTTGTTGTTTTGCTACTGTTATTTTTTTAAACCTGATCATACTTGATATTCTATTCTGCACCTTTTCTGACTTCTTGGCAGGTCAGAATTATAGTTCTGGCTTCTTAATGTCTGTTTAGGAGAAGATTTGAAGTCTTGTATATAGTAAGAAACTATTAACAATATTAACATTAATACTTAACACATTTTTCAAGTAGTACTTTTCATAAATTTTTTCAGAGAGTAATCATAATTTATGTAGAATTTATCTAAAATTAAATCTAACCCCCAAATCTCTAAGGAGTATGAGGATCCTGTAAAAATTATAGAATCTAAAAAACAATGAAACAGGCTCAGCGCCGTGGCTCAAGCAGCTAAGGCGCTAGCCACATACACTTGAGCTGCTGGTTTGAATCCAGCCTGGGCCCACCAAACAATAATGACGGCTGCAACCAAAAAATAGCTGGGTGTTGTGGCAGGCCCCTGTAGTCCCAGCTACTTGGGAGGTGAAGGCAGGAGAATCGCTTGAGCCCAGGAGTTGGAGGTTGCTGTGAGCTGTGATGCCACGGTATTCTACCCAGGGGGACAGCTTGAGGCTCTGTCTCAAAAAAAAAAGAAAGAAACAGCAACACATTGATCAAAAACTAATAATACACTGAATTTTTTTTAATATAAAAACTAGTCACATCCATAAAATATCTGATAAAGAGAAAATATCATTATTTCAATACAGTATTTTCCAGGGATTTGTTTATATAACTTATTTATATGATCCTAAAATTCAATTTTGTTTATAATTTAAATAAATTGTGTTTATATCTGAAGTTATATATTTACAACTAAAATACTAATGTAATAGAAATGTTATATTTATATACGGAAATGTTACATTTATAATGAAACAGGGTGGCGCCTGTGGTTCAAAGGAGTAGGGCGCCGGCCCCATATGCCAGAGGTGGTGGGTTCAAACCCAGCCCCAGCCAAAACCTGCAAAAAATTTAAAAAATTTAAAAAATTTAAAAAAAATAAATGAAACAAATAACACTTAGAAGTCAGAAAAATTACAATAATACCTAAAATTTTAATATTAAATAACTATAAATGTAATATGTACATCTTTTTATATTTCTGATATCAGTAACAGAATATCAGTTCTATTACAATTTTTAAGAATTTATAATTTATAAATTTTTTATAAATTATTTTAAGTTTATAATTTATAAGTATATTCAAGAAGCAACCTAATGTACAAGATCACTAGTATATTTCCCTTAAAATCATTTTCAAAAACCTAAAAATAAAAGTTAATCTTGTTAAAGGATATAACAGATCAGTAATATTTTTGGAATTACAAGTGCTAGTAATTTGGAAAAAAATACAATAATATTTAGGGGGAAAACACTGGACTTTTAACTTTGAGGAAAAATCAAGGAAAATGAAAATGGGAATAAAAACCCACATAGAATTATCTTTCTTCCAAAATATACAGGCTCTAATCCACAGCTTATCTCTGCTGCTGGTAATTCTAGGCCTTTGTCTCCATTAATGCCCACGACAAGGTGAACAGTAGTAACAAATCAAACTAATGCAGTCAGGCTAATACCTGGAGCGTCTCTATTATCTGAGGACTGCCTAAATAAGGTTATTTGGTCTCCCATAATGGCATTTGTCCTTTGTGCAGCCAGCCAGACAAAGCCAGTCACTAAAGAGTGCTGCTGGAAACAATGGCGTGTGTGCTGGTGGTCAACTTTTGAGTTAATCAGTGTTAATAGCTACTTTTGCCTCCTGCATTTTATCACACATCATAGAATGGCATAAATCCCCCATTACTGAACCAAACATAGCATCAGCTGGGCCTTGGCTACTGCAGGAGGCAGGGAGCTGGGAAGCTGGACCATTTGCTTGAAGTGGAACCCAAATCACAGTCTAACAAACAGTGACTTGTCATCTCCACTCATTATTCTCCCAGAGGAATAAAAACCCCCTCCACGTGCATATGGCTAAATTTAATGCTCATCTTGACTGTCCTGACTCTGCTGGGGTACCAGCCCATTGCAGCTGAGGCAGCTTTTGGTGGCTTGCATCACTTTATACCCCGTAACACTCACCTCTTCCCATTTTCCTCTTTCTGATTTTCTTATTAACACCCTTTCCCTTTTTCACTGCTAAAGGTTTGTTGGTCTTGACAGGCATTATTGGGTCCTACAAATGAACTTCCGGCCTAAAAAGTTTATTGCTTACCTTTTGCCTAGTGTCACCAACATTTTAGGAACTTAGTGTCGGTTCTCTTCCTCCAGGTCTCCTAGGATAACCTAGTGGATCCTCTCCTTTAATTAGTATTTTATGATGGTGATTCCAGTGAAATAAATGACACTATAGTTTATGTCCTATTTACCTTATCATAAGCTTGCAAATACCCATGTACCTGAGTAGCTGCTGCCCCTTTAGACTGGGCTGCAAATTGAAACAGAATTGCTTTAAATTGAAGCAGAGATGAATCTCACGTGACATCTGGAGCCAAGCCTGGCCACATTTTTGCAAACCCCAGCTGACCTCTCAACCAATGGGTGAGTTTTCTACCTCTTTAAGGGCTTGTAAACACAGCATCATTGCAGCAATACAGGTCCTAGGAGTTTTCCTTATTGATGTGTGTTGGTTCTTTATATAGTAAACAATTGATTACCATATTTTGACTCATAATTTCTTATTTTTTTTTTTTT